GGGAATTTTGAAAATTTCTAAACCAATTTAATCATTTCAGCTTACATGAAGCACCACATAAATGAGAACCACATGCTCAAAATTGCAATGTCTGTTTTCAGAGTGAGACTGAATTAAATTTTACATCCACCTGCCAATGGTAACTTATAGACCTATTACTTGAGGGTAGCTTTCTGTTTGCCAGAGTTGTCCTGCTTCTAGCCAGCATAATCAAATACTAGATCTGTACTATGTAAACCAAAATTTTGATCTAATCTGGGCTTTAGTTTTGAATAGAAGTTAAAAAGGGCAGGATAACAAGAATAAAAAAAAATGTTCAAAAGGGCCATAAGAGTTAAACTATCTTTTATTTACCATGTCTCCGAAATCTGATGATTCAAAATCAGACAAAACTGTATCGATTTCCACCTAAAAGCAAATTAAACAACATAATAATGTTAAGGTAGAACAAACGAGCATTATACAGTTAAATATATATGCTTACTGCATTTTGTTCTCAATGATGCCAAATTAAGATGTGATGATAAAGTTTGTCGCAGCTGAGAGACTTTCTCAAAATAATTATTAATCTTGTGGAAAGGAAAATATAGAAGGAGCTGAAAACATTCTGTAAACTTCCAGTGAATCGGCTTGCAGGGAACCCATAGAAAGAACGTTTTTATTTTACTCGCAAAGCACATATTTATTAAAAGGAATGCCGATCTGGGTTTACTGAGATCAGGATATGAAAGGGGGGTTTAACTTTAACCTGGCAGGGTACTGCATTCCCACTGAGGTATAAAACCTTCAGGGCTGCGATTGTGTTTTTGGTTCAGCTGGAATTAATGCAGTTTTTCAGAGACATCACCCAGATGATCTGACCAACCTCATAAACAAACAAGGCATGACTACTAAAATAAACGGCAGTCGAAAGTTGTTCCAAAGTTGCACAGTACTATAGAATGTTAAAGCTGCAGATAATTTGAGTAAATTAAATACAATAATAATCATCATTATGGATGAAGTTAAAAATGCATGAAATGTGGAAGGGTTAGTGACATGAGTTACAGCAAGGTCAAGGTCACTGTAAAGTTTGAGCAGAGAGATTTCTACTGTAAATACAGAAAAATAAATGTAACTGAACATACTCCATGCAATCAAATATAGAGTCTATACTTTATTTAGGTTCGTTCTCAATTCACTTACCAAATCTTCCAACTTGGTTAAATGCTACACTGTGAGGGCAACTTAAGATAAATTGTTAAGAATGAGGATTTTCAAGACTTTCGGAGCTATAACTACATAACAGCAGGTGGCAGCATGACCACAGAACACTGGAACACAATCCAATCACCCCCATGAACTGCAGTTTCACGTTTGAGAGTGCTTTCCATAAACCACATTGAGAATAAACTTTCTGCTTGAAATAGAGGCTGATGAAAGTCGAAGGTGGTTAAGTCTACAGCTGCAGTCACTTCAGTTTAAAAGGAATCAGAACTGAGAAACGCAGCACTGGCTAGATAATACCACTGCCAACTGAAAGATCTATTCTTCAGTTGGAAATAAAGACGACACAAAATATTGTCAGGCGGCAACAGTCAGTTACAGATGGAATTTACCTTGATCTCCTGGGGTAATGTCAGCCAGCGCACTGCGGGCAAACTGTTCAAAAACAAATTACTAGAAATATCGAGCGGCTGAGAGCTGGGGCTGCCATTCGGCTTAGGCAGCTGGATGAGCTGCTGGAAGAACAGGCAGAAGAAATGGTCCAATCGAGGCATGTTGTCAGCCTCACAGAAAGCACTGCGCAGGGAAGAAGAAGGAGAAGCTTCAGGACAACATCCAGCTGTACCCGGTGACTCTTAACTACCTCCAAAAGCAGCCTTGGACACCTGTCCTCATTCTATAATCCATCATACACAAGGCTTCAGATGTCCAGGAGCACAAGAACACATGAAGTCATGGAAGAAAGGAGTGAAGCAAAACAAACCTGTCTAAGGAGCTGTACATGACTTTCAGTGTCCGGACCAAACCGCCAACCACATTTTTCAGGTGTAGAAGTGGAACCCTCGAAAAAAAAAAAAAACAATTAAAAAAAAGTGGAGATAATAACACAACTCTAAGCTATAAACACTACTTAAGCCTAGGTACTTTAGTGTTGCCTCTTCTTCGCCTATTAAAAGATGCGAGATGATTATTCTTCATATACTGGGGTGAAGATGTCAAGTACAGTACCTGGAGCCTAACTATATGCAATTTAGTACCGAGTTCAGTAACAACAAAAAAGCTTTTTTAAAAATATTTACAGAGTCTGGATAGATGACATACAGTACAGTATATGACAAACATACATCCTAAATAGGTAGGTTAGACACTTTTTCATGATTTTCACAAACTAGTTTGACTTGGATATATGGACTGCACTGACCATGCTTCACCTATATTACACTTTTGGCAAGACTCCTGCCCTGGTGAAGCATGTCCAATGGTAGCCAACTTACTAGATGCTGAGTCATTCTGCAGTGAAATTTAAACACTTAAAATTCCTGTGACACCTGTGGCTTTAAAAACGTTTTGAAAGCAAAATTCACAAAAAAAGGACCAGGATTTCTGTAGCTATTATATCCTACTTTAAGGATTAAGCAAAATATGGACATGCAGGAAGCGGTAGTTCTAATTGGGAGGAGAGGAGGGAAGCTTTTACTCTAAATTAAATTCAAGCTTGCAGTTGACAGCTCGCACCCTCACCTTTCTGCAGGCAAGCCGATGACCAGCAGGTTGTCTCCTTCTTTCCAGTAGCCCACATGGACCATGTGCTTACCCAGCAGCAGTGTAGAGCTGAGACAACAGAGAAAATGACCTACTGTACCGATGCACCTCTTACTTACTGTCACAGGCAGTTCCAGCCATTTACATATTCGCACCTATGCACAGAGGAACTGAAATGCACGCTGCACTTTTCCAAGAGGAAAACCCCTTGCCAAGGAAAGTCAGCCTGGTAATTACAACGGGAAGCCATTCGCAGTGACCAAGGGGTTATGTGGAGGGATGCTGGGAAACAGGCACAAAAAGAGCGGAATTTACTCTCCGCTGATCGCTGGTGAGCGTACTGGTGCACTATGGCTGCCGTTGCATCATCCAGGTGGGTGCTGTACATTGGTGGTGGTGGAGGGGAGTCCCCATTACCTGTAAAGCGCTTTGAGTCTAGAAAAGCTCTATATAAGTGTAAGGAATTAGAATTCACGTCTGTGGCACGGGATGGGAGGGCAGTGGTTTTCTTCCCTGAGCTTTCTCTTAGTTTCTAAACCTATGTCTTCACATCATCGTAATAGAAATATCCAGGCTGTTTTTTTGTTTATTGCAGGGACTCCAATTAGTCACACCAGCTTTGAACATGAGACAGAAAGTTAAGTTGAATCAAAGCCACAGCCCTGTATGGGATGAATTTATTTAGTGCATGCATGGGTGGCGGTTTAGATCTATACCTGACAATCTGTCCTCCAGTCACACCTTCGAGCATGTCACAGAGAGTGAGAAATATTCCCCTTACTCCCTTCAGCTGCCTAGAGGCCTCAGATACCGGATACTGGTAGAGAATTTCTTGCTGTGAGAAAAGAAGGAGTTAATTCAACAGGAAACAAAAACTCTGTACAGAAACCTCTGCCACATCTGACAGTAGAATGTAACCAATAAGTAACAACCTATGTCCAGCTCTCAGAGTTGAGATATATATATATTTATTTATATAACTAATAAATTATTCTTATTCTTATTCACAGCAGTATAAGTAGTGTGGACTGCTAAGTCTCTCCTAATCCAGGTCTTGAAATAATTTAAAATAAAAAATGCAGGAATTATCCTTCCAACCTGTTCAAAAACCAACTGCCTGCATTTTTAGTAAGAACAGAGTTGCTCATGAATAGAATTTAGCTAGCAGCTAATTAGGATTTTTTTATACAACCATTTAAGTTTAAAACGGTAACTGGCAACCAAGCAAGTTTAATGAGAGACATTCTGCCTCTGATCTGAGCTCTACAGAACTCTTCCAGCGACCCAGCTTCACAACCAAGGAAACGAGAAGCAAAACAAACGATCTGTTTGAAAGAAGCACAGCACAGGTCTTCCCCGAGCTTTGCAGAATGGCCTTTTCTGTTGCTGACAAACACAGACATGGAATGTTAATGACAAAACTGTCCCTTAAGTAAAACATTGTTAGAGGAAAATGGCCTAAAGAATGTTCTCAAGAGAAATTATCTCTCAGCTCCTTTTTGTGTGATTTCTCTCCGTCTCATTAACCTAGATTTCAAATCATAAAGACTTGAACAAAGAATCTCCTTAATTCTTTGGCTCCAATAACAGCACCATTTCGGCGCAGAGAAAATAAAAAAATAAAAACTTGGAAAAATCTTAATTAAAAAATAAAAGACACATCGGTACAGGAAATAACAAGTCTTAAAGACTTTGCAAGTCTGCTTTTCTAAGATGCTGTAAAACATGGTCATAGCACAGTGGAAATCAAATTACGGAGAGACTTTCAATTTAAATTCATTTAACATGCTTGCATGGTAAGCAAAGCAGATTAATTTGTGCCACCAAGAAACAAAATACACTGAGGCTAAGAAATGAACTGGACTCAATTATATACATTTACCAGCTGCTAGCTCATCAAACTCAAGCAGACATGCAATACTTATGATGCAAGATTTCTATTTTACATTAGTTACAATGGTGGCATGACCTTAGAGGTTTCACAAAAGAGCGCTGCAGTTCTTAAAATTATATGCGCAGCATCAAATGCTCCTTGTAACACAAGATTTCACCTGCAGCCTAAGGCTCTGCTTCTCATCTGTTTTTATAGTTCACACTGGAGAGTGTGGCAATTGGCAGCTTGAGAAAACTAGCAATGCCAAGTAATAAAATAAACACAGAAAAAATGTGTTATGTTACGGATTTTTTGTTTGGTTTTGATCTTTTTTTCTATAGCCCTCTAAACATAATTTCAACACACACAATAATCCCGAAGAACGACCTAAGAATGAAAGTCTACTATGGAGGCGTCTTTAGCCAGGCTGTGTATTATGCAGAGAGACGCTGAGACACCTACTGTACTTGTCAGCAGCAGTGAGCTGAGTCTTCAGACTGAAATACTTCTTCTTGTGCTAAGCAAGTGTTCAGGGCTTTTGCACAGAATCGTACTGAGACAAGCAGAGGATACGCAAAAAAACACAAACAGGAGGCTTTGGTAGAAAATGAGATCTACCAGACCATTAGACCTACTTCCTCTTTTGGAGACTCCGAGTCCAGTTTGAGGGACAGGTACATTACTATGTGAGGAATGTTGCCGATAGACATCTGGAGTTCCACGGCATCTTCACCCCACAAAAGCTTGACCAGGTTGCTCACAGGTTGCGACGGTTTACGGTTGAGATGCTCGGAGTCAGTCCCTTCAGCATCGAAGGAGGCGGTCTCAAACGTTAGCTTCACCTGAGTAAAAAAACAATTCAACACAGTCAGATTTTTGGTGTAAACGTTTCCGTCATTTTTTTGGTGCAACGTCTTTTGATGAATTGGGAAGAAAAAGCCACGCCGAGGTGCATTTGTACCTGGGGTAGGTGAATCACATGATAAACATAAGAAAGTCTGCAAATGAGAAGATGCCATTAGGCACACATTCAGCGGCTCATTTCGATTTTAGTAACTAGGTGAGCAGCCATTTCTAGTAAGAAGCAAATACACACTACAGACAACATGGTTGGGATATTTGTTCCAGACTTCTACAATCTCTTATGTAGAAAAGTTCCTTCTCGTGAAACAGTGAAATCCAGTACACGGGCAAAGAGGCCTTGGGAGTACATTCCTGCAGACAACGACAAGCAGATGGCTTTGTGCAGCTGTGTACAAGACGCTATACAGTATGTGTATGTATCACAGACAGTGATCATGTTGAGAGCATGTAGCACCTTCCACTGTTCTTCGTGTCAAGAACAGATAATAAGAAACCTTACACAATAGGAGGCAACGGGCTTTCTAGCCCATTTGGTATTTAGTAGTTTACTGATCCAAGGATCTCATCCAGCTGTTTCTTGAAAGAATCCAGGTTATTGACTTCATAACATGGATGGTTAGCTTGTTTCACATTCCCCCAACCCTTGAGTGCCTCTATAGTAGCTCTCAGTTTAAAATGAAAAGCTGCATGGTTTCCACTTGTATCCTATTTAAACACGGCCACTGGTACTTGATTAGGATATTTCACACTGCAGCATGTTTGATTTACAAAAGGAAAAGAGAAAAAGACACCTGACTTCTTGACTCAAGAAAAATATATTTTGGAACTGTGTCATTGAACTCCTGATAAAATAAATTAAAGTGATGAACACATCGCCAAGCAGAGATGAACAGATGAACAAGCAGTGGTATGGATTATAACAAAAACTCTTTGAGCGATTTGAAATAAGAATAACTTTGCTCATTTCAGATGCATGCCGGAATTTTCCTCATGTGTTCTTAATTTCCGGGCTGGCAAGAGAGCAACAAATAAACATTTTCAGTATAAATATAAAAAAAAATATTTTCCATTTGTGATTCATTCGGGAAAAAGAGTTCACGTCATTTAGGAAGTGTAATTAATAACATAAACTAGAGGAAGACATTCTGCCCATCTAGTAGTATTAAGCCTATATGCCTATCCTTAGTTATTAGTTTATAGCTAATTGAAGCAAGAATCTCCACCTTTTTCTTAAAAGAAACTAGGGTCTTGGCCTGATCAACAGGGCTGGATAGCTGGTCCCAAACTTCCTGGATACTTTCATTATATTAAAGTTCCCAAATGTATGCAGCTAAAAAAATAAACCAAGATGTTACTATTGTAATTTGTACACATTTTGAAACATGCAATCAATGGCATGAGCTGAGTAAGGCAGGCTTTGATGTCTGTTATGAAAAGCAGTAATTTGGGTTTACTGTACCTTGTTAAAATTTAGAAGTAGTATAAACTCACTAAACCAGGAAAAACACAAGCTTGTATGTACTGTATACAAACAAAACAGCTCTGATATTTAGAATGATAACACAGTGTACATAGCCCTGTTTCCTACGAATAGAGGCTAGGGATGATACAAGGTCTGCATATTGCATAGCTTTATGCAATACACATGTATGCTAGAGCACAAGGATTACTGAAAAGTGATAGCTATTGTGAGAGGATTTGGTAAACAGATTTCTAAGCAGTGTTACAAATGCTTACTGACTGGTTTGGTCAGAGACAGACGTTTATGCATGAGAAATCGAAGCAATGCGTTTTAATGAGGGCACCAGGGCTGCTGGCTCATAAAATAATGAATTAACGGATGATGGAATGATGACAAATAACTGTTCCATTGTTAATATGGCCGTTTCAGCTTTATGAAATGTCCCCTTAAATACTGAACTGCAAACATTTTAAAAAAAAAAGTAAAAACTCTTAGCCACAGCTGGACAAAGCGCCACACCAGTGTCTTATCCTCCATACTGTAATAAAGCTGTCTGAGTCGAGGGAAAATTAGCTTGCTCAGCAAACACACATACTGTACAACCCTTGCCAGAGTGATGCTCAGCCGGCCCCTTCTGTGCAGTCATGGAATTGCCAGGCTCAAATGTCAGCGCAGGAAATGTAAGCGGACCCGCCAGCACTTCACACTCCAGCACGCTCAGCCAAGGTAACTTGAAAATCGAGCAACGTTTGGCCTCCAGTCTTCCCATCCTCTTGGCTGACCACTACTGACGTGCACGAGCCGTGCGCATTTGGACTTTGACTAAGCCCTCGCTTCTGGGCTCTTTCCATCCTTGAGAGTTAAAATGGGAGCCTGTCATTAAAGGCTTCCCTGCAATGGTTTCAGCTGTCACTGTCCTCTGCAGACTCACTCACCCTTGATCATCCGATCCTTGAAAATGGTCAGCATCAAACCAAGGAAGCTGCATTAATTTCTACTTTTGCACAGCGCCAGATGGGAGATAATAGCAGGGGCCAGATGCACCATGATATCATGGTTCTTAATAGACGGCAATTTTTATGTACTGACATATGGAACTACTTCTTGAATTTCTAAGCACTAAGACAGGAAAAAAGACACAGAAAAAGAAATGTAACAGTTCCGATCCACATTGTACAAAAGTAACGAAATTACACAACCTTACTTTGACACAATACATGGGCTTTTAAAATCTTCCATTGTGTGCTACCTGCAAAACGCAAACTTTTAATAAGAAAGACAGATAGCTGGTTACTGTCCGTTCTCAAAATTGAGAATTAGGAGCTGCAAGAGCAAATGTCCAGCTACATTTTAAATTCACTTTCATTTAACACCTAACCACATTTACTAGTGACACTACCATTCATAACCTGTCAGTGCTTTTTAGTTTCTAACTCTCCTTAGAAAAGTGATAAAGGTTTCACATTTGTTACCTGAAACCTGACCAATTAAACAATTAGCTGTTACAATAAAAATAACTGCAGTGTTACAGTACATCCTGTACTGTTAATTACTATAACGAGGCAAGCACATAGTGTATGCTTCGTATCCAAGGACAGTGCATTTAAAAGCATCAGAGGACAGTTGTTTTGGAGTTATAGGATTTTGCTTTCACTGTTTCGCAGCAACCACTTACCAGAGCACACAGAAACATTAAACACTAATCAGCCTCTCTCAGGATGTTTAATATGAGCGTATTACTATGAAAACGACTGCCTCAATAATGGTTTGCTTAAGCAAAATAATAAAGGAAGCTGTTTTTTTTTTCAATCGTTGGGCCTTGCATGTTGAAATACCCAAGCAAAATTAATGATCTTAATGATACGGGAGGAGGCTGGGGTTCACTAATTCAAACAACATTTCCTCGCTCTTAACAACAATTATTTCCTTCCCTCCTGGGGCAGCACATAAGAGGGTGATTAACAAGTCAGCTGGCAAATGCCCATATAGGAAAGAAGTTAGAAAAAAACCTGGGAAAAAGTTCAATATGGCAGGTAAGGCATCCAGAGACACATTATTAAAAGAGCACAGAGCTCACCACTTCAAAAAATTAACACTGATTTGTACCACATCATAAAAGAGCAGCATCTCGCATCCCCCTTTCAATATCTCATCCCCTCACTGCAAGATCTTGTGCTCCTATTTACAGAGACTTCCAGTGTAAAAAGCAGGTTGCAAAGATACAGAACAAAAAACATTACACCCTTTGCATCTTTTGAATGCACTATTTGGTTGCGCCTTCGGATCAATTGCGCTGACAAGGCTGCAACATAATTGTGCTCTTCCTGTGGTTTTCTAATCGTGCCGCTACAGCTGTAGTTTTTTGCCATGACTGGATTAGTCACTGCGCACCGTATAATTTTAAAACCCCCTTTTATGGAGTAAACGGAGACACAGACAGAGATTGCAGCTGTAAAGATGAAAACAATCTGTCTATGCTTAAGGTTTATGAAACCAACTAAAAGAGAATGTCCGCCTCCTGAAGCTGTTGGTTGTTTGACAAGAGTTCTGCATGGCCACAAACTCTGCGACGCTTGCTTGTGAATGACAGCCGTTTATTCTCGTCTGCTCAGCATCTTCGCTTTGGCGAAGCTCGGGTATGATGAGCTGGCGGAGATGAGCAAAATTCTTGCCCTGTTTGAGAGAAAGGTACTGTAATACTGTAGAGTCCCCTTCATTATGATGGAAGAGAGGTACATCTGCAAAATGACAAATTATGTACTGTATGTTTTTCCCCAACTAACCCTGGCGTTACTTAACGATTAGATTTCCCTCAGCTGAACCACTGACTCTTCTCTTCCCTGACCCAGTTTAACAGCAACATTTCATAAGCTCATTTTTGCCATTTTATTTTTACTACTGACTTTAAGACCCTTTATTGAAGAAGGGCTTTATGGATGAGGAACACAATGTCAATCCTTATTAACATCAGGTTAGTTGCTGCTTCATAAATTGCTGTGGGGTACACACAGCGAAGTTTACGTGTCATACTTGCTTACTGTGATTATCTACTGTGCTCTGGTTTATACTCAGCAAAACAGCTTATACTTAAAGTAAATTGGGTCTATTTTCCCTGTTAGCCATCATTATAACAGTTTTCACTTACCTTCTGGATTACGTAGTATTTTAAAAAATATAAATTTTGTGTAACAAAACCTAAACTTGTATCTTTGTGTCACAGGAGAGGTCGGGGGAAGAAAACTAGAAGCACGAATACCCACTGGAAAATTTTGTTCTTTATGTCTATAATATTCCTTATGCCCTTCTCTTATGGACAATTCAGTCCTACTCTCTTTAGCTAAATATGTGCCTCTATGAGCACGGACTCCCAACCCTTTTACATAATGTCTGTGCATTTTTCACTGACTTCCTGCAAGAACATGGTGATTGTGTCTTAAGACTATGTGTAGAAAAAGTGAAAGCACACTGCTTGCATCTTTTAAAACACAAGTGAGTCAGTGTATGCCAGCAGAAATTTAGGATGCTCTCATAACTAGTCAGCTTAAACACTTCTTAAGGAGCAGTCTTGAGTCCCTCATTAATATTTTGGATTCTTATGATGGCAAAGACAAATGTGACTATTTCCATGACATTTAATAGCAAGGAACAAGCAAGTTATAGACACTGCTTCTTTAAAACTGTGATTTACGAACCTACTTAGAGCATATTAAAAAAGTTCAGTGCCTGCAAATTCACTCTTGCCTTGTTCCCTCTGTAGGCAGCGCAGTTCAGAACTGCTCATCTAAATAACCACATTACATTTAGAGGACCTTTTAATTGCTAAGAACTTTGGCCGCTATGGTTTCAGTGGTTAGGACTGAAGATAAAATCTGCAGAATTTTAGAACTATGTATATAATTTACGCAATCATAAAGTTCCCATCAAAAATATCCTTTGTTTTATTCCCCCATTTTCCTCTGTAGTCTACTGTGTAGTCTGGACTTTTTTTTTTAGATGAAAGGACAAAAACACACAAAAAACGCAATGCATTCCCGATGGGAAACCAAAAGTATTCACAGCAGAAATGAAAACTTGTACAAGCAGTCATGTGACACCTACTGTCACACCCAGTGACTGCAATGACAGAAAGTAGCAGTGCTAAGAGGTGGTATCCCAAGTCTGTGGAAACTTCGAAGACTGATCAAGTGCAAGAGCTGCATTTTCAAATGTCCATTGGAAATAAACAGCTAAGAAAAAATGTTGTCCAGCATTTCCTTGCAATGATTACCTGTCAACTGGAACACTCGCACAGTTGTGTCAGATTTCATTCACAGATATGCTTGTTAATGCCTGTATGATTCTTTATGAGAATCAGAAGTTATAGTTTGATTTACTTTTTCTTTTCAGTCCATCTTTAGAACGTTTTCTTAATAAGGGATTTATCAGCCTAAAAATTCCTTAAACTCCTGGTCTAGTACATTTTTAGATGATTAGAATTTGTACATTTTCCACTCTCCAGTATATACATGTGAGTGCATGTCTTTGTCCTGCAACGTGAAGGTGTCTCATCGAAAGTGTACTGCCTTCCTCCCCCTGCCTGCTAGGTTAGACTCCACAGTTCACCACATCCTTTAAAGGATAAAGCAGTTACTGAAAAGGAGTAGATGGATGTCTGTTTAATACAATGACACAGTGACACATCCTTAAGGAAAATAAGGACCATTCTCTTTCAGTAATCTCACAGGAAAAGTGGCAAATGTGGAGAAACCTCATATTAAACTTTAGAAATCAGAAGATCTTACTCTCACAAAACAGGAAGATTTATGATTAAACTGAGTAGTCAATTTCTAAGTTCTAAGCTTAACTACTTAGATCTGTTGTTTTAAAAAAAAAACACCATCATAGCCTGTTATATCATGTAAAAATATTTTTTGGAACGACAAAGGGCTTCATTCAGCGAACACCTTAAAGTGAATGGAAGAAGGCAATTTTCTCTGAAACGTAAACTGAGCCCCTCAGTTGTGAAACTGTGCAGAATCTTTCTTAGGAGGGTAATTAAAAGTCTTGCAAGTTTATTTTTCATGATTCTGGGACTTCCTCTAGTAACGGTGCCAGCAGGATGTCAGCTGTGTAGGGTTCTGTACCGAGAACACAGTTTCATACCTGTGTAGGCCCTGGGATGCAGGACAGGACCCTTTCAATATTCTCCGACGTGACATCGACATCGTTGACCGCTACGAGAACGTCTCCTGCAAGAAGAGAAAACGGGGTCTTCAGGGGGCATGGAATCCTCCAACAGCTCTCACGCCTCACATCGTGAGAAAAGCAGGAGTTGAAATATTGATTTCTGCTGTGTTTAGGCAAGACCTGACACCACCTCAATGATCTGCAGGTCTGTCAGGACATTTTGGAAGAGAAAAAAAAACGTATCGCCGTTGCACTTGTGTGGAGTAACATGGCCTTCCATGATAACATATCCATTATAGCCATGATATTGTACACAAAAAATGTACATGAACAGCACTCATTCCGCAATCAGACCGCAATTCTACTGTACATTGTTGAAGCAGATGGTAAGATTAAAAGGAAATCCCACTGTAAGGATTCATCTCAGTTGAGGTCACATACAAGGCCAAAGTATAGAGGTTGGGTTTGCAAATAACACATTTTCATTAAAAGACACTATGCAGACCCAGGGACAACACACAGGATAAAATCATCTGAATAATCTGAAAGCCACCACCTGGCTGAACACTTCCCAGCCGTTGATTCTTCGCAGAGTTGTGACACCACTAGGGGGCGCGGCAGTGTGGCAAGTTATCTTTCAATAGGCAGGTCCAGGGGAAACAGACACAGAGGTATGACAAAAAAAAACATGCTCTTTATTTACATGGTCCGAAACACAAAGAGACTGAAGATCGGCCATTTCAAGACCGCCTCCTCGCCCATGAGCCACACTATCATGGGGAGGGCGGTGGGACAAACAGGACGATTTTCTCCCTCTCGGGCCGTCTACCCGCTGTCTTTCCAGGTTACCCTGGCAGCATTCTGCCTTCTCTGGCTGGGGGCCCAGTCGATGGCCTAGCTACCTTTTCAGTCTTGCACGGAAACCTTCGGAAATGTCTTGCAATCTTTTGTTCCTGCACGTGCAGTACAACACAACGCTACTGAAAAATTCAAGAAATAACTCCCAGCAAGGAAACATCTTACATATTTGAGCAGTAATACCCCGCAGCGAGGTCTCTTATCTACCTTGTGATTTATGATGACAATTACCGAGGCAGAAAAGGTATTTCTCTTATTTGATTTCCCCACAAGTAGGAGATACAAGTGGAGAACAGTGATGCATGATTCATTTATTATAATGTGTGTTCTGCTTTCAGTTATATTCTAGCTGGCTGTGGCTTGAGAATCCCAGGGGAGCGCTGGACTGGCAGAGCAGAGTTTGGGCTATCTGAAGAGCTGGCTGCGGCCACGTTTGGTTGCTCAACGAGAACTCCTATATCGTTGACAAGCAGAACCACTTGACTTCCAAGTAGCTCTTAACCTTTTATGACCCCTAGGAAAAGAGTCAATTTCCTCCTGGAAGTATGTCCCCTCAAACCTTTTTTTAATATCTCTGGAAATGTATACAGTAGATGCCTGGTTTATGGCTTTAATTAAAGCTAAAACATCAATCTTCAAGCTCTGCACAGTGGCTACAGAGTTCTGCTGCACACACTGTGTTGTCTCTCCACAGGTCCATGTGGCAGCTGAACCTTAAGTTCATTTCACAAAGATGATAAACAAAGGAATGAATTTCATGACTGATGGTAATTTCCCAGTAGATACCAATGTATACAGAAAGAAAAAATACATTTTCCCAAGTATAATTCCCTATGGTAGTACAAATCAACATAGGATCCTTAAAAGGTTTCCAGAATCTCTTCTTCTCCGGCCAAGTAGTGCATGAAATCAACACTCTTGAGACAGTGGATCTGCCTCTAAGAGTTCTGCATTTATTATTTTATAAACCGAGTCACAGATCTGACAAGCGGTAGAGATATTCCAAACCGAACAGATCAGTCCGATCTCCCACTGGCCTAGGACCGCCAAAATAAACCTTTGCCCCTAAGAACCAGGCAGTTGTGGCGTTTTTAACAAAACGCCACAACTGCTCATTTGTACATCTTCTGACCTGCACCTTCTGCATACGTTTACCTGTAGCAGTGCAGAACGCAGCAGCAGAATCACCCATTCTGAAGTATGACATAAAATTAAATAACAATATTGAATGTACTGTATAAATACTGAGATATAAAAAGTAGTTGCACACAAAGTAGTTTACATTTTAAGGTGGGGGGGGTTAGGTGTTTATCCAGAAATCTACCAGTTACTTATCTGAAATATTTACACAAGATACTGGTTTAAGCATGAACAAGGGTTTCCCCCAGGAGGCCCTCTAAATGCTCACTTATGTGCCTGCTTCCCAGAGCATTTCAGCTGGCAAGCCATTGGCCTCTTCCCCGACAGCTGAAGTGGCTGAGCTCTAGGAGACCACTTCACAGAACTGGCAGCACAAAGCGAGAGGCAAGACGAGTCAGCCCTGAAAGAAAGCCTTTCAGACACACGCATATCTGTCCGCGCCGAGACAGAAACAGCTTTTTTCTTTCGCCTGTGCCCAGGCAGAACTGATTTTCCATTCGACGCCAAAATCTATCTGGTCCCGCAGGACTCCAGAGGAAAAGGCTCAAATTTTAAACTCCCATTGGAAATCGGTTCTTCGTATTAATTCCAGTTCTTTGAACAGCATATGAAAAAAAAAAAACAATAGTTAACTTATAGAGTAAAAAATATGACATGTGTGCTTAAGCACTGGAGTAACTTTTTGCTCAGCAACAAACCACAGATATGAATGAAGGATCAGCAAAGTGTTATGTCCAGAGTTTTAACTTTGTCCACAAAGAAATTTAACAATATACACCCATTCCCCAACATACATGAGGGTTATATTCCTCCTTTACGTCATCTGAATTTTACTTTAAGTTGGAAGCTACATTTTCTTAGCCGTTATGCGAACACATACAGTAGAACTGTTCGTGATATTTATAAATAGGAAGACTTTATGGGAAAAATTAAAAGACTAATTAATATGATTAAAGATGTAAACCTAAAAATACACAGAAAATAATAAATGAAACATTAGAGACAGAGAGAAAAATTATTTAACAAATTTGAAAATGTCGTATATTTTAATAACTCTACACCAACGTTCCCAATCCTGGTCCTGAAGACACCCACACCTGTTGGCTTTTGTGCCACTTGAGTCCTCAGTTACACAACCAAACCCTTCATTGAAGTAATAACAATAAAATTAATTTGAGCTCTTTGTTCCGAGCTCTTAAATATGTTGGAGCTTTAGCCATTGTATTTTGCATGTGAAAAAAAATCCCAAACTCGCAACTAGAAACAAAAGGCAAATATTAAATTGAAGCAACTTCTTAGATCAAGTAAGGCTTCAATTATCTAATTAAGGAGGGCTGGGATGAAAACCAGCTGGTGTGTGGCTCACCAGGACCAGAACTGGGAACACCCGTTGTAGTCATTACACACAAGATACAATAAGACAATCCTGCAGTGACAGGACTGCCACCCCCACCAGTGATAGTCCATGGACAATGTATCACATTGTCCATGGAAATAGGTCTGTAAGACTTTTATAGGACCTCACAGACAGTATACCACTTTACTTACCTATCAGAATCTGTCCACATTTAATTGCTGGACTGCCTGGCACCAGTCCGTGCACAGCAAGCCTTTCTTCAGCACAGGCTGCTTCTGGCTCCTCTCCTTTACCGACTACCTTTCTGGCCCAAGAAGGATGATAAACAATCCCCAGCAAGGACTCCAGCAGACGACTCCCCTCCGTTGATAACAGGTTCCCCAACCTCTTAGGGTTCACATAAACGCAGACATCCTTCAGCTGTTGCTGCACGAGAACCCCCGGCCTCTGACTGGACTGGTTCTTGAGAATCGAAGCCGGCTGGGAGGACTGGCTTGCGTTCTGGCACCCAGAAGGGCCTTTATCATCGTCCGTCCACCTCCGGGAGAGGCGTTTCCTCCTCAGGATCTTGGCCAGCCGTTTCAGTTTCGGCTCCAGCTTCGCCCCCTCCTTGCGCCTCTTGCCGTCCGTGATGATCTCGGCTTCCTTGTCGCTGAAACGCACATGGTTGGCGGCAGGGCCCTGCGCGGCGCCGGACTGGGCGAGAGCGACCTCCTCCTCTCCCTCACTCAGCTCCAAATAGAAGAGCTCCCCATTCTTTTGGACATCATCCAACCATTCAGGCTCCAGGTCACTGCCACAGAGAGAACAGCCAGGAATCAGGAGGCAACGTCGGAGAGTATACAACCTTAATTACACCTAGGCCAGGATCGTCAGCCCTCAATATGTATAATAGTTGGTCTGATGTCAAATCAAACAACTAATCCAGCTGGGTACAATATCGGAAGCCCTTTTACAGATTCGCAAAGACACAACATTACAAGCCGCCTTTCAGATGAGACGTTAAACCGAGGTCCTGACTCTCGGTGGTCATTAAAGATTCCCGGGCACTTCTCAATAAGAGTAGGGTGTTATCCCGGTGTCCAGGCAAAATTTTCCCCCTCGGCCTTTACCGTGGCCTCCAAATTGTCCCCATGTGTGATTGGCTTGCCCTTGCCCTGCGATGGACTGGCTTCTTGCCCAGGGTGTACCATGCCTTGCGCTCGTTGCTTGCCGGGTAGGCTCCGGCTTCCCACTTATGAAGCAGTTTGGCAAATGCCATGACATGACAACACTACAAGCAGCAGTGTTCCACCATGCCCTTACTCTGCACTATTTAGCAGCTTCTGCACCACCTTATTTCACTTCATTGGCATGATGGATAATTTACAGTGTTGCCTTAGCAATAACGATTAGGAAACAGTAGCTTTTCTAATACAGTTACATTAGCTAGAAAATTAGAACAATGTATGAAGACGGAGGAAGAAGGGGAAAGGAAAGAATTTCAGTGCCCTCCATTGATTAAGTACTTAATTTTTGCTTCAGACTACATCAGTTGGTGTCTGTGATCATGCAGTTTCTATAAATGACATTATACATTTTTTTAAAGTAATTCCATACATACATTTAATAAGAATGGAACAAAAACATTTCATGTTCATCTTTTAATTTCAAGTGTCAATAAGTATTTGGGACAGATTCACTTTAAGTCAGTTTCAGAATTTGGTTGAAGATCCCTTAGAGCCAATAACTGCATGTGACCCACTGAGCTAAATACTCTGTGCAACCACTTGCCACAATCACTTTGAGTTCTTGACTGTTCTTGGGATGATCCTGGAAAATCGTAAAGACTGCCATGTACTGTAAAATGCACACTCAATTAGATTTACATCTGGAGATTGAGTCGGCCAGTCTAAGATTTTCCATTGTTTTTTTTCTACTGATGAACTCCTCTTTTTTCTACTGGTCCTATAGTCCTATAGTCCATTTAGTTTGGGTCACTGTCATGCTGCATAGTAAGGCACCACCGTGAAGAGAAGCATTTATTTCTCAATAAGAAGCCCATACATTTCTGTAAAAACTTTGAAATGCATTCTGCTGCTGTCATTATTAGTTACATCATCTATAAAGAGGAGTGAGCCAGTTCCAAAGACAGCCAATCATGTTCAGGCCATGCCTTTATCTCCATCGTGTTTCCAAATGTGCTGTTAGGTACAAAGATCAGCAAAATGAAGTTATGGAACACGTTTTAATGATGGGACCAAGATACACCTCGACAAAAGTGGTACAAAAATGACTGAAAGTATGGAGAAAGAAAGGAACTGCAGATGCTGAAAATAATACCACTTCATCTAGCCTGGGCCTGCATGGTCACCTCTGGAATGTGCTCACCTTATTCAGGATGTAACTATGGATGGCAGCAAAACTGATTTCTGGATTTACAAGAACTTCTGGAGTGATTCCAGGCCAAAAAAAGAGCAATCAGATACAAGCCTAGGCTTCTTAGACAAATTCCTAAAAAGTATCCTTGGATCAATTATCTACTATCATCCAAATGGCTTCTTCATTTAAGCTTTCTTATGTACTCGTATACAGTATGGGAAAATAATTTGGGCTGCATTTATAGTATAAAACCTTGTCCCTACTGGTATCCACGTACTGGGTTCTGTTAAATGACCACTTTATTTCAGAATATGCAAAAAAAAACTCCTATGGCCACATGTAACCCAATTTTGTGGTTTGGCAAAAAATCAGCAATTATTTTTTTTTTCTCTTTGAAATGACCTCTTGCGTCGAAATGCTAAACTCAACTTTGCACATTGCTGGCCATAGTAAGTGTTCACTCCAACACCAGCAATGAGGCACAACACCCTTGGTAAAAGCTCTTGTCTCGAAACAAGACTAGTCTTCTTACCTGTGATTCCACATCCCAGGCTGATGAAATGAATAAAGAAAACCAGCTAAAGAATGAAGATGTCCTTCATGCTCAGTTCTCAAGTGCTGGCTGTCATATAAAACACATGAATGTAATCCACTGGCGTGTGTTTTCATATACTCCATTTTCAGGTTTGCAGCTCTTACCCACAGAGTATTTTTCAGTATCACCCACACTGCTAACACAGTATAGACTTTGTATTCAGCTACTGTACGTCTTTCCAGCTGCAGTCCACGAATATAATCATCCTATCAAGTGTGTATGGGTTCCCTTCTTGACAAACACGTTAAATAGGTTTAAGGTTATCAATAAAATGTCCAACCCTGCTAACCTGCAGGTCAGAACTACGTTTGATTTAATTGTACCCACCTCTATTCCAACCATGCAAGTAGATCTCACAAAGTGCTTGCAAAATTGTTATACTTAATGTCCAAAAATCAGATACTGCCGTGATGCTAATTGACTCAAATTTGTTGTCGAATTCTGGCCGGATTTGCCAGATTTGATTTTCCTCTAAATCAAACTGAATTAGAGGGATTCACTTTTTTAACCTTAGATCATAAAGTAAATAAATGAACAGTGACGTGGACATATCTACAAGTTACATATAGAATCCATTCATAAAACAATTCTATATTTATATAAAATAAATCTTAGACTCTATTTTGTGTGGCTTTTTTTAAATGTCTGCAAAGCGACGTTCACAAGACGGTCAAAAACAATGTATCTGGAGGGCAAGAGATGAGAAAGTGGTAGTCTACACCCCCTAAAATAAAATGTTCTAGCTTTGCAAAAAGAAAACCAAAAATCTAGGCAGACATTTGTCTTTCTTTAAATTAAGCCACGCCACTCCTGTGGTAAGGAGCACTTGAAACCACATCCATAAATTTTATAAAGATGGTGAATGGCATATAATTATTTATGAAGGTTCACTTTCCAAATTGGAAACAGAGGGCTTTTTTTTTGCATTAGACACTGAATGAAAGCTGCAGGATACAGTACAGTAGCTCTTTTTTATATTTGCTCTCTACAGTAATTCAATTTATTTAAACTCCATGTTAAATTAAGCACAGATGATCTTTTTCAAGTGATCTTTTTAAAGTGAGAAGTTTTGACAAGATAGAGTCAACATCAATCCCTTGCTCAAAGCATGATTTGTCACACAAGAAAGTTGAAACTAATACGGTTTACGACATGGGATCGAAGCTGTAGCCTCTGGCATTTGCAAATCAAGACCAGCCAGGAGAATCAGAAAGCAAGACATGACTAAAAGAATATAAAGATTAAAATTGAGAGGAGGCCATCTGCTAGTAGCTAACTGATCTGAGAATCTCATTAAGGCCATTTCTGAAAGAAGTCAAGGGCAGCTGTTGTGACATCCTGAGCAGCTAGTTCCAGATTCTTGGAACAACTTAAACGTGATGCTGAAACATATTTTCTTTATTTTCAGCGGAGGTTGCATGAAACTGGCCTCAAAGGTCCAGTTTCTGTGTTTTCCAGCCCAGGCAAGTCTCTTCCTCTCATTCTGCACTGTTAACAATGGTTTCCTTGCAGCAATTTGTCCTGGTAGGCCAGCTTCACGCGACCTCCTCTGAACAGTTGATGTCGACACATTGTACTTCTAGTTGCATTGAGCTCAGCAGTTAGCCACCGGTTTCACAGACTTGTGACTCTAATGAACTTATTCTCTGATTCTGAGGTCACCTTTGGCCTGTCTGACCTTTTTCCATCCTCGCGAGTTCCGGTTTCTTCATATCGTTTGATAGTCTTGGCCACGGCAGTTACTGACACTTGCAAAGTTCTTGCAATTTGTCGTAAAGATTGATCTTCATTTCTCAAAGTAATTATAGATTGGAATTACAGACTTTTGCCCATGCTCCCTATATTTATAGTAATCGTGGACCCTCACCTGTTTACCAATAATTGGTGACAAAAGGTAAATGAGGTAACATGCTAGTTAACTGTGAGTTTACAAAGACAATTTTAAACTTATTTTAGTGTTCTAACACCATGTTATACACATTTCTAACTTTAAACTAACCTGGGCTTCAGACTGAAATCCGCCTGCTTTGGGTGTTCATTTTATTGAAAATCAAAAATTAACATTTTCAATGCAGTTCACTTCAGATTAAAAGTACACATCTCATGTAATTAAATATTAAGTGCTTTATAGACAAGTTTATACAATTTAAAGCAGAGATAATCATAAACCTGGTTTCAAGAAGGTGTACTCAAACTTTTGACTGGTACTGTATATTTTTGCACCTATTCTGTGGAAGCCTAGAAGACTGAAAATCAAGAGACATTCTCTGACACGGACATCACGAGACATTCTCACACGGACATCATAGTCGCCTTTACCCAGAGGACTCAAGCAGATAAAAAGCTGTTAAATGTCTCAGCCCAAAAAGATCAGTTAAGTCAGGCTTAAATTAAGTCTGTACAGCTGCCCTTCTGCTCATCACAGCCCTTCTAACCCCTTAATTTTCTCTTCTTTACACTCATAACAAAAAAGTAAAAAGTAAAAGCAGACTCCGAGATGCCCAAAACCCTTGAAGCCACCAGGATTTCAATCACTTAGCTCCCAGAGAAGAACTTAGTGCACTGAAGCTTACAGAAGTTACTAGGTCACAGAGGCACACAGAAATTGTTCACACTGTTTGGTGTACAGTATCAGTTCATTCCATTTGTCTTTGGTGCTTTGGAGCTGTAGTTCAACAATTCACTATTCACATGACACATTATCCTATGTACAGTACATGATCACCTCAATAACCGATGGCTCAAGTGGTGCACTGTATTCTTGTTTCCTGCCCTTCTAGTAATAGCTGTCCCCTACCTTGCAGAACCTCAAGCTTTTTTCACTGGCTAGGAAGGCCAACAAACACGATAATTAGCAAACAGCACTCCTTCAGTAGGACATGTAACAACAGCAGGTGACATAATGATTTTTGCTGCCCTCAGTAAAATCCCCACCCTGCTTTCAACTGAGAAAACATTACATTTAAAGGGCAAATCCAAATGAATATACACAGGAAGACAAGGCCACAGAGAGCGAGATCAGAAGAGCCCCTATACCAGCAAAGTGAAGGAGATGATTCAGGCCATGTGTGGATGAGAGACAGACAAAAAGCAGGGCCATGCTAATGAGGGTATCCAAAACTACAGAGAGAGGAACCAGCAGGAAGGAAATACTTTGCAGTGAGGATGGCAGGTGCTCAGGTGGGACAGATCTAATTACAGCTCATGCACCAGTGCCTGGAAGAAATGAAAGAGGAGAACTAATGGAAGAGACAGAACCATCAGTAGGATACCTGCTGAAAGCTTTAACATTGCAGCATCCCAGACGTCACAGCAGAGCCAACAACCACGACAGGAGAACTCAGCGAGGTGGAAAGCAGCAGCACCAGATGAAGATGCAACAGCACTAATGACAAAGACTAAGGGAATTGTTCAGAGAAATCACGTAACAGAAACAGAGACTGGTAACAATACAAAAGGTCCCACTGCAAGGACTGGAACACCAGAGCTATTAACACAAGCACTGCCCATTGGTTTGAAGGTCACAGAACTGAGGGTTTGAAGGTCACAGAACTGAGGGTTTGAAGGTCACAGAACTGAGGGTTTGAAGGTCACAGAACGGAGGGAAATTCTGATAGTCAAGGCACAGACAGAAGTACTTTAAACACACAATGGGGAAGGCTGCTCAAAGAAGCAAAGAAAAGGTAGGCGCTTTTGAAGATGGTTCAGCTGTTTTTTTCTCAAAAATAAAAAAACACCGTAAATTGTGCGTGTTCTGCTGTAATTTCTCAAAAGCCAGGAGATGAGACAAGAGTACAAGATGGAGAAAAAAAACACTGTAGTACAAATGACATTTTTATACAACTGAGCCTTAATCATACTGCACTCAAATTTCATTCTGGGAATTTATCTGAACCTTGCATATCTAAGAATCATTTTAGGTCAGCACACGAGAGAAAACCCTTCTTTACCTGTTTCTAAAACTTTATTATCACAAATTAAGTTAGTGTCTTAAACCTTAATCTCATATTTAAAGGCCTCATCCTTGTACCTGATAAATTTAGAAATTAAAAACTAAATTTAGAAACTCAAACTCAATTAACTTCATTTTATTTCCAATTTCAAGGAAGATGTCACAGTAATGAAAAAAGCAATGAAAAACAAATACAATACCTAAGTTATTCCAATAAAACAGTTTTAAGATTACAGTATGATGTATAAATATCCACGAATGCCATCAATCCAGGCTCACTTAACGCCATATTTTAGTGTTACAGTACTTAGATTAACCAAACTAGTATTATTCTGATATTACTACCTTTCTGAGTGAGAACTCTAGAATTTACACTGTCATACCAGTAACTCGCTGTACATTATTATTGCAACTATTTTGTATCGTCTGCTTTTTAAAGCTCATGACACGGTATACTTTTTGTAAAAAAAACTAATAAAAGACGTTATCAGTAGTTGGCAGCATAGAAATACTTCAGCCGAACTCTGTAGTAAATATTATTCACAATTACACTACAACAAAACATCTAAGCATATTTTCAGATTTCAGCTCGTAATTCAGTTAATTATTTTCATCAGATTTATTTTTGCTACGTTGTGACGGTATCTCACTCTGAGTAATCGGAGGGGCTGTAACTTGATGTAGTGTCACTCTCATAGCTGCCTTCGTCGTCCTCCGGTTGTTGTTCTCTGTATGGACCGGGGGTGAAAGGAGACTCGGAGGATCGCTGGAAATCTCGAACCTGGGAATTCATCTTCTGATACGCATTAACACGTTATAGTAACGCATACCGATCTTTCTCTAAACTGTCTACAGTACGTTACTTTCTCACGTTGACAACTAACACTTCGCCATATTGTCCCGCATACGGGTTAGTTTGAGTCATGTGACAGGAATGCCACCTTTCTGATTGGCTAGCAGCGGGGTTGCCATAGGCACAAGGAAGCCTTGACAAGCATAGAGGCAGGTTACACAGGTGTGAATGGATAGGTGTCGGCGATTAAATAAGAAATTGCAGCAAAGCCATTTCCTTAGTTATGCGTTTGTGACACTTAGTATACACACAAGTATATACAATTGTGTGTACTTAGCTGTCTGTCCTATTTAACAATCTGTGTTATTTGTACTGTACATATATTTCAAAATCATAAAAAGATTATTTTAATCGGTTGCTTTTATTTAGTTTGGGAGTAACCTTATAACATTAACATAATAATAATGTCTGTACGGTAGAATACATAGAAAGTATTGTGAAAGTTGAAGTAAACTTTGTAGTAAAATTTGGCTTTACATCATTAAGAAAATATTGTTTAAAATCGTTATCAAAAATTTAATTTTCTTAAAACATTAAAGTGCTGCAAAATATTCAATTTTTTGTCAATGCGGTAAAATTTTTATTATATCAGCTATTTAATTATGCTTGAATACGAGGTGTGTGCTTACCACGGTTGACAGTTTGCAACTTATTTTCTTGGTAACCTCACTGTTGTCCTGACGCCAGAGGCGTGGATGGCCACAGTGCTGTAAAGCCTAATAGTTTCGACAGAGAGTAGATGTATTTCTTGCTTAACGTCTAATGCTACCACTTGCGGTTGTCTTTTGAAGGGTTTTTATGGACTAAACTGGATGCTTACCATTGGTGTTCTTACTGTATTAAGAACATTCAATGTGTACGGGAAAAATACAAGTGAAATGTTTCTTTTTACATCTCAATAAAACTTCGGCCATTTGGCAGCAAATTCCCCCTGATGAAAAGGCACAGTACAGTGTATTTCCTTGAGAAAGCTAACAGTAACGGACGGCGATGTTTTAGTTTCCCTATGGGTTTACAGTAAGAGAAGGCAATGTTAAAATAAATTCGATATCATTACCCTTTAAAACACGTCATGCACAGAAAAGGTTCTGGAGATGCTTTCCAGCTGCAAATGCTAAACGTTTAAAAATAAACGTATCTTGATCATCGTTGCCACCCATTACAACTAGGTCAAATACTGTATTATCAGAAAAAGGAAATACTGTTTTTATGTTGAATTATGTCAAACTGGCTTCATGTCTTGTGTAAACAACGCAAGTAACGTGACTGTTATTTTGAATGCGAATACAATTAAAAAATATGTTGCACCAAGCAAGACCTTAATCCCCAAGTATTCATTGACCAGTGCATGAATACAAAAACTATGCGCACTTTCTCCCCACATCTACTGTACAATCTGTTAAATGTAACGTATATGGTTAAAAATTCATTACTTCCCCAAATGCCAAGTTACTGTTGTTGGAGAAGAGGACCAAGGTACACTGACCTGTAGAGAAGCACGCTGCGCACAGAATCGAAATCCTCTAGGTTCTTTGAACAGGGTCTTGATGTTCTTCCATCTATACCGACATTAAACATTCTTTATTCCTGGATCATGTTTCCACGAGGAGCAGATGCTGGAATTAATACCAGTTGGATACAAACCCATTGCCTTTGAGCGTTAAGGTTTAGCAGCTATACGTTGGCTGTGCCGCGACGCCAAAATCCCTCCCATCGCAGTTTTTGCAGTTTATGAAGAATAGCCCCTTCAAAGACCGTGGCTCTCGAAGCGGTGTTTTAAATTGTGTTAACAACAATGTAATCTCTCGCTCTGGCAGTCGGCGGTACATTCCAGACTTTCTCGCCTTCAAACTGAATGAAAACTCCTTTCAAATAAGCTTCCCTCCCAATTCACACGCCAGTCACTGACGGTACAAAGCTCTCCTTTACCACCCGTTGCTTTGAAGGCAAGGGAAGCGGCACTAGAGTCCTTCACAGAGCCAGGGCGCAGTCGTTAGAATAAATACCGAGCGCCAATTCTGGACAAGCAAGATCTGTGCTCTGCGGTAAAGGGATTACTGCCTTTCCTCAATACTAAACTGAGTTTTGTATTGAATTGTGTTAATCCGCAGCCTTTACTTAATCGTTTAAAAGGCGACTACCAGACGAAACGTGGTATGCACAAACGTTTCACATTGAAAAAAAAACCCTCAAACTCTCCTATGCATAGACAAGAAGTGCGCATTCACGCCTTCAAAAACTACAGTATATACATCGTAACCAGTACAGATTTTATGTAAATAAAAATCTACAGTACATTCAAGAAGCGTTTAATCCAGTAATGCCAGAAATATTACTTTTGTCACGATTTTAGACATTCTTTATTACTTTGAAAAATGTTCATTTCTTTCTCAGATGTCTGCTCATAGATATACAGTATCACCCACAACAGACTTGTTGTTGCAAGTAAAGCAAAGTTTATCCTATTTTATGTTTGTTAGTTAATGATGACCAATAATACGGAATTAATAACGTTAATTTATCTCATGTGAATTTGCTTCAGACACAACAAGATTATGCAGTCATTCTTATTGTGTTTTTTAAAAAAATTCTTAATTTTATTATTACTTTATAAGCAGTAACACAAGTGAGGCAAACGAGTAGTCGGGTGCAGTTTCATAACTATCCAACTTGTGAGGACGTAGCAAAATTAAATTGTGTTACATCGCATGTCATTATTATTGCACATTTCTTACTTCTCAAGTTGGTGAGTAATTTATAGGCTGCCACTTAGAGCCCGCAATTCGACCCAGTATTTATTTATCATAATATTCTTGGTCATATCCAATCAGCTGATTGTTTGTCCTTTATAGCGCTCACTAGTGATTGTATTAAACTAGATATATATATTTACATTTATTGATGATTTAAATACCAGTTACCATGGATGATGGCCACTGCAAATCACAGACAATTTAATAATTGAATTGAGAGTGCCATCTTGTGGCGTGAAGAACGACCAGGCCGTTCTGAGGAAAAAAGGTTTCAAAGTATTTCAGCAGAATAACGCGATTTTCGCATTTAGCCAATGAAGAGGTTGACACGCACAACAATCTGGGAGTTGTGTCGGAGTTTCTAATAACTACCCTTTCAATGTCGTGGGCAGACAAAACGTCCCCTCCCACATTATCGGTCTAGTACAAGTCTAGTATTGAACCTTTTTGAAAAACTGTTATCATTAGACTTAACGGAACCACTGTGAAGAGAGACCGCAGCAATAATTCTTACAACTTGGTTTTCAGGACAAGAGGTTTTCACAATAAAAAAAAAATCAGATTTTATTGGAAATCAATACATATCAGTAAGCATACATAACAGTTCACAAAAAATATAAAATGCCCTTTTGCTGAATGGGTTCTGACTGTTTTTTTCAGTGGAGAAACAGTATTTAAGTTGGACCTCCCAGCTATTTATTGCACTTGACAGAAACTGTCAAGCCATTTTTTGATAGCATGCAGACCATTACACATTCCCAAATTATCCCTACTTGTACAGCATATAAGAGACAGAAGTGTCACTCTGTTTGATCTTCCCACAGTACCTGCTTGACTGTTCTGTGGGACAGCTACATTACGAACTTGCTAACAGAGCAGTATTCACTATATCAACCCACCTGAATCCCCATTTACTGTCACCTCTTAGCTCTTTTAAATTGGATAATGTTTGTTAATTCGTTCAGGATTAACAGAATTTTAAATCACTGCATTCAGTTGAGATCCTGGCTTACAGTAAATTCATGTCCCTTGCTGTACAGTATGTCAACATCTTGTGCTTTCATTTTGAGTTGTACAAAAAACAGCTCTTCTTTTTTTAAACGTTCATTTTAAAATAATTCTAAAGGCAGTTCTCATTTAAAACTTGTACGTTAAAAAAAAAACCCAATTCTACAGAGGTCCTAGCCAACTAAACACTTGGTTTGTCTTTTAAACATGAAAGAGTTAAATGTAACTGAAGTTTAAACCTCAATAATGTAGAAAAAATGCATAATCCAACATTTTAAATGTGTGCTCACAGTTTATTAGTTAAGGTACTGTAGATATTCATAAAATATATGGCTTTTGTTAACCCAGAGTAACTTCACAATTTATGTTTCATCAACAATAATCTTATTAGACATAAAATTCAAGTATTTTAGAAATATGGCAACTTTGAAACCCAAAGTATTTTTCGAATTTCCTAAAATTCACAAAAATCAAATCCGTGGACGGATTATCTATATATTCCATGAATTTCAAAATATTTAAATGCATAGTAATCCTTTTCAAATAGGCAATAGCTTTTGAAATATCATTTTTGGAATCCGTATTTTCAAATGCGTTTAATGTCTCACTGGCTGCCTGACATATTGTATTCGATTCGAGTCAGACTACTTTGTCCCTGTTGATGAATCATCCAGATGTCACAAAAATACTTTAACTGAAAGGCGGCATCAAAATTTTAAACTTACAATAACCATCTCAATGAATGCATGTGCGCTATGTGCATTCTTCATATGCATATAATTTAATTAATCAATAATTGAATTAAGATAATGCAGATTTTGTATCTTCCACACTTTGCTTTTTTGTAAAAGTTTTTTTGTGCATCTTAAGGGTTGCGATCAGTTCACAATGACTGTGAAATCTTGTGCTTTGTCCTTATTGCCAGTTTACAGCAGCCTGAATGCTGAAATGGAAAGGTTTAAAATCCTGAGAAGAGATGCGCTTAAGGACAGAAGAGAGGTGGGCACTGCTTCACACAAAGCATGATGGGATCTGGAACAAGCCGCTTATCCAGACAGTTCATCCCAGATGGATGGCTGTCACAATCACGTGTCCAAGTGCCCTGTCTGCATAGCCCTAGCAAGTGAGCAATGAACACCCCTCTCCAAAAGAGTTCCCTTGCAGCAGAGTGTTTGAATATTCCTGAGAAAGTTACATACCTGCTACAGTTTCATTTTACTGTACATCCTGAGACCTGACGCACAAAGACTGATATTTTACAGGAAGTAGAAAGATCGTTTCGAGGCTTGACTAGCGATGACCAGTTATCCAACCGGATGAGAAGAATAGGCTCCCCCCATTTGGAGCTCTTCCTGTCTTCTGATTATCTTCCACGATTGTTAAGTTTTTCCTCAGATGATTCGTAATTCATCCAAGGTCTTCAGATCTTCATCGTGGAGAGGTCGGACGAGATGGAAGAACTCCAGCAGGTTCATCAAGACCCCTCTGTCAAACAGACTGGCCCGGCCGTCTCCTCCTCTGAGGTAGCTGTATTTGTGATGGTTGAAGTACTCGTTAGTGGTCGTGTTGACGGCAGCCATGTAAAGCTGTTGACAGATGAGGGGGAAAAAAAACCAAACATGAACATAGTTTTAGAATTGCAACCCAAAAACAAGCATATGCAGTAACGCTAATCTCAGTAATAGATGAGAAATCTAGACGTTATCTGTAACAAGGAGAAGTAATCCATCCTCTAACCACTTTTATCAAGACAGGATTGTGGGGTAGCCAGAGCACATCCCAGCAAGCAGCGGGCACAAGGCAGGGTACACCTTGGACAGGACGCCAGTCCACCGCAGAGGACACACAGACGCAAGCTTCACAGAAACCAATTAACCAATTAACCTACCAGCATGTCTTTGGACTGTGGGAGGAAACCAGAGCACCCAGAGGAAACCGATCTGAATGCAGAGAGAACCCGAGGTCGGGAATCGTACCCAGGGCCTCAGTACTGTGAGCCAGCAATGCTAACTACTGTTTAATCGTCCCCCCCCCCCAGTTCAGTCAAAATCTTAAAAAAAAAAAACTATTTTCTATTTTTTGGTAAATTAAAATAACTCTAACAAGTGCAACAAACTTTAAAACAATTTTAGTATGTAAAATTTTCATCATCAGCATGCGTAGGCTGCAATTTTCAGCATCAGCATGCGTAGGCTGCAAAGGAAGAAGTAAAGGTTTATTCCATGCTGAAAAGAAAGGAAACAACGTTTTCGGCTGTGGAGCTTTCTTTGGGTGTGAATTCTGAATAGTGTTCTTTAAGGATAAACAATACTGCATAG